ATCAAAAAAAACAATTACTGAAATAAAGCATTTAGAAGAAGGAAAAATAATGAACGTACAAGGTACTAAAAGCCTTGTGATTGCAAGTCTTGGAGATATAACTTCTGACTTGCCACAAGGAAATGATCTGGTCGGGGTTAAAAGGCATAATGCTACAAAAGGTTATTGTACTTGTAGTATGAACAAAAATTTCTGGACGTCTGATTATAATTTATTATTGAACTCTCACTATCAACAACTTACGGATAATCAATTTGAAGAAATTGTTGTAGCATCAACATTAATAGAACGTAAAGAAATCTCTACAAGATATGGATTGCACTTATGTTTACCAATATTAAATCAATTGCGATGGGAAAGACATTTCCAATCGCCACATGACGTGTATCATGCTACTAGTGGTAAAGTGCTGAAGCTTCTTAAAATGACAATTGATGCTTTTTCATTAGAAGGGAAATCTGCATTTATTGCAGTTTGGAAATTATTTGAATATCCAAAGAACTGGTCTAAATTGCCAAATCCGATAACTCATATTGATAGTTTCATAATGTCGGATTGCTTAAGATTGGCAATGTGTTTCCTTTTATTATTAATAAACTTTTGAAGTCTCAATATTTTAAGCAATCTGAGATTTACAAATTGCAACAACGGCTAGACATTTCGCGCAATGATTTAGCTATAAAAGTCTGGCTAAAATGTTGGCTAATCGTATCAAAAACAATGGCGATTTCATTTAAGAAATATTTTACAGAAGAAGATTATGTCGAATTGCAAGAATGCTTGGAAAACGAAAGAAAAATTCTAGCACAGGTATCAAAAATTATAGTAATATATATTGACTGAATAAAAACTAAGTACTCAAAATTTAAGGGTTTTGTATACGTACGTACGTACTAATTTAATTCTACTATTGTTAATATTGATAGTCATTTGAAGACTTCGAAAATCTTCCGAATTTACATATTAATTTTCATATGACTCAGCACGCTAGAAATTATGCTAATTTATTAAATATTGGTGTAGGAACAAAGGAAATGGTACACCGAATATTTAAGAATGTTGTGCCACGAACCAATCGAAAAAATATAGATTTGGGCCTACTAAAATACTATAATACATTATTTGCAATACGTCACTTACTAGATGGAGGCATAAATATGCGTTTCTCATCTTCAAGCAATGCTTTAATTAATCTTTCACCGCATTTACAGCACCTATGGCATGATTTTACAGCACCAATTAACATCAATAATTGAAACAATAGATTTAACGGAGAATAGTGCAATTTGATAAAGGATCTCATGTCTATTTTGAGGCAGTCATAAATCGGTGTATCGTATATAAATGTTTTTGTATATGTAACTTACGATTAACCAAAGAACGAATAGCTTGATCAAAAGATTGACTTCGATAT